TCCATGAGGAAAAACGAATCAATTTTGCAAAAAAAATGGAAAAATTATGGCTCTGAGGATGTGTGGATAACCGATGAAAGCACATTCCAAATGCATAGAAACAAACTGACAGTCTGATATTCAAAAAATGGCAAAAAAACAACAATTTCAGCTCCCAAATTTCCAAAAAAAAGTGATGGTTTGGGGAGCAATTTCAATCCGATTATTCTATCTTAAAATAGTCGATGGCCCAGGAAATATAAATGGGTCTAAATATTGTCATATACTGAGGGAATTTATTCCGTACGCTGACGCACTTTTTTCAGAGGGCTAGATCTTGCAGTAAGACAGTGCACGCCCACACGCGTCAATTTTTACCAAAAATTGGATGGAGGACAATCATGTCCAAATTTTGCAATGGCCGCCAAACTCAGCTGATCTATCGCCCAATGAAAGTGTTTGGATCATTCTCAAAAATGCTGTGGAAACGAAATCACCAACAAATGTCGAAGAGTTGGGGAGATATATAATCGAATGCCAAGATGAAGTGACTGCGCAAATGAGGTTAAATTTAATGAAGACAACTTTTAAATGTTAATTGTTGCCATGGAAAGCAAATCCCCTCCGAGTCAAACTGGAATGTAGCCATTTTTCTTGCCTATTCTGCGTTCTATTAGAAGTTTCTCTGTGATTTGCCATTTATGAGAAAATTTAAGTTATTCCAGTCTTATTTTTTTGCATCGAACAATAGTTTAGAGCAAGTATACAATTTTTTTTGCGATTTTCATGTTTGACAAAAGAAACATTTTTAGCGGCGTGATTTTGGTCGACCTGTCAAATTTCGAGTTCACTCAATAGAATGGTAAGACTCTATTTTGTCGAAAAGTATTGCGTCGCAAACGAGTCTTGAAAAAGAAATCAAAACTGACGTGAAAGTTTTTTTGGGCTTTTTCAGAAAAACTTTAAGGCTGATGGATCGAAGACGGGTAATGGAAAAAAGTAATAAGGAGGATCGCCTTGAGAAGTTATCACCACTCACTCTTAATGATGATGATGATGATAATGATATGATTCAGAGGGTTATTTCAGTCACCAACTGGGCTCATTGTCATTTTTGAAACCTTTATCCAGTTTCAGTCTACAACCCAGAATCATTTATTACGAGACCAAACTGTGCACTTTGTGAATTGCAACCAGACTCCGCAACAAAGACTCTCCCTTTGTACTTCTTTTGTTCTTTAGTTTTCTTTGATCGTTCCGACTAAATTTCAAAAACTTTAAAGACTTGTGTCAGGAATCCAGGAACGGTTACATGGCAAAACTTCCCTTACCTTAAGATCCCAAAGGAGAAGATCCCCGTCAATTAGATACCGTTCCATAAAACACCTCGATCTAAAGTCGCCCACGACATAAGGTACCATAATGAAATAACAAAGAACCTGAGAATTGAAAATAAAGTGGTTAATCGATCAAAGCAAAAAAAACGTCGGTTAAAAACAAACAAACGGCCAAATTTCAGCTTGCACAAAATTCGAACATAAATGACCTTGCTAAACACTTGGCCTTCGAATTGCAACTCAAGCTTCAAAACAGCTTAAACTGCAAATGAAATTGAAAAAGGTGACAAATCATTCAAAACCAACTTTGACAAAATTGGCCTGATTTTTCAGACAACTCAAGTCGGTACAAAATTGAAACAAAGTTTTTGCTAAATACTAGAGCTTTGAAATCATTTCCATTACGAATCACTTGCACTTGCCATTCTATTTGGTTCAAAATATCAAATCGCAATATTGATCTTTTTTTTGCTTTAGCGTCCCGTAAATAAGGGCAATTGCTCTGAAATCAAATGGCTAGAGACAGCATTTTTGAATGCCAGCCAAAAACTAAGCAAAATTTAATAGGTTTATTGGGAAAGTGAACAGTTACAAGACCCTATGTTGGAGTCTGTGTATGAGTTTGTTATCTGTTGAACTTTTTCATTCAGATCATGGTAATTTTTCTAGGATAAGTTGATAGTACCGCTGAATACTTTGAAATCTTGAACTTTTGATTAGGGGAATCTTGTTGAATTTTTGCAAGAATAGTAAAATTTGCAGGATGGCTGCCTTGAAACAAGCGGTTACATCTAGATGCCAACCTTCAACTTCATTTGTTGTTCGGATTAGACCACACCCAGCATTTTGATAACGGATATGTTTTTTAGAAATAAGCCGTGAGCTTGTCTAAAATTTGGAGATCGTTTTGTGAAATAACCAGTTTGGTTGCCATTTTGCATATTTCCTCAAATAATAAGTCGAGCCCGATTTCCATTTTTGACTCCGGCACCGATAAGTGATTAAAGTGCGGTTAGGAACTTGTTATAGGCTGATAAGAGCTTATTGCTGAGCAGAGCGTTGACGCAAGTTGTATAAAACCCGTATCTTGTTTTCTGCTATCAAAAAGACAAAAAAGGCTTAAAAAGATCAGGTATTTCGAAATGACGGTCAAATGAGGCAAAAGTGGGCAGGGATGTCGTTTGCTTACTTCTGTTCAATGTTCGCGGTATCGTCGATCGGGAGGGCAAAACAGTTGGGTTGCTTTGTCGTCCTGCACCAATTGCAAACTAGCTGCGATAATCTGGCTGTTTACTAGATTTAGTTGGTTCCCAACTGTCTTCTTCATTTGCTGAACTAGTTGCCGAGCTTCTGAGCGTTCTGCGTTGAAATCGTGACTATGCTCGTTGCTGTTTGAGAATATATCGCTCCCAGATTTGAATATAGTTTTTGGGCACTTATATGATCTCCATTTGCTGCAGGGCCAATGTGTTGTTGTCTTCGTATCGAGTTTCTTTTGAAGTTCATGGCAGTCAAGAACAATCAGTATTAAGCCTTTTTGTGAGATTCCCCAAGTAAAAGAATTCTTTTTTGTCTTATCAATGAGTTAAAGAGCAGGATAATGAATGAAGAGTGCATACAATTTCAATTGACTTGTTGTAATTCAATATCATATTAACACGAAGTTAAACACATGCTGGCCTTATGTTAATCCCAAAAATGAGTCAAGTTTAAATTAGTTATTTTAGATTTGCATTGCTCATGAATAGCCCAAACGTAATTGAGATATCATTACTCTAGTTTTTTTTCTGCTCACTCTTTGATCATGATTTTTGTTCATAATTCATGGGATTTTTGTAATTGACGTGGGATCTTATGGTATGGGCAACTTTTGTACAAGGGACCTTTTGGTATGGTATCTTTTGTCATGGGAGCTTTTGGTATGGTATCTTTTGTCCTGACACCCCAGGAACATACAGACTCAAAATTGTGCGCCTAATCAGTGCACAGTTTGGCCTCGTAATTTCCCACATTTCAATTCTCAATATTTCCACTGTTCAGTCCTCATTATTTCCACTGTTCAGCCCTCATTGTTTCCTATGCAGCCCTCAACAGGGCTTGAATAAAATTTCGAGTTCTCTCAATCATTACTTTCAACCGGTTCAAATAAAATCCGAGTAAAAACGTTGAAAATATCCTTCATCCTCGATTTTCTGAAAATCTCCTTTCTCCCTCTTGTCAGCTTTTCGTGAGTTAAAAAAGTTTTTTTTTCAATTGAATGCCAAATCTCGTACATCCGCAGAGTTTAGATGTTTCCCATCCCTCGAACAGTTGTCTTTTTCGATACTTCCTATAATCAAATAAGGGCACATTTGCAATTTGGCACATTATTGGCACCTATTTCAATTGTATTTTCTGGAATAAACTGGTCAAGCAACATTGACAAACAAAACACAAAACAATGTTTTTTTTTATTTTCTCTTTATATTTGAAAGAAGTGCTTTTAAATAAGTGTGGTTGGAATCAGAAGTGTTCGCGTAATTACATTATGAATTATTAAGCTGATAGAGCTATATCTCAAAAGAATTTTTTGCACTCGAATATAACCTCATAAAAGCTCCATAGAGCTCCATAAAAGCGCCTCTTTTTCTTTAAACTTGTATAGTCTTAGATTAATTCTTTTAAAAAAGAAATCATGAATGTGAGGCTATACAAAAAATCTACTTAATAAAGACAATCAGAATCTCGACAAAAAATCACGGTGGTAGCATTGCATACCATAAGCGGAGAATAATGTTAGTTATTTAAGAAGCCTCCCAGTTACTTCTGGTTAAGCGACGGGGGACAGTCATTTGACATATTTGAACCAGTCACCTAATCCGGCCAACTAACAAAACAAACAGCGACTTGCTGTCTCGATTCAGCTTGACTTTTTTGTAGATAAGTTTATTGAGTTTCCTTATTGGTATAACTGCAAAAATTGTTTTTTTTTTTCAAATAAATCAGTTTTTATATTCAATTAAGTTTGATTTCAGCAATAGTGGTAACGTTTACCTTGCTATATTATATTGATTAAAGGTCCTAATGGTTTGTGGTCGTATAAAAAGTCTGCTAAGCGTCATTTTGAGCATAGGCTCGAAAAGTTATGACTATCTGGACAAGTTTTAGTAACTAGAGTCAGCTAGTAATATCAGTGATGGTTCTTGAATAAGCTGAAGCAGCACGATAGTTGGTGTTTTTGCTGCTCAACCGCAAGAAAAATCACATATTTTATTTTCGAGATGCTCTCGAGTTAATCAAGCGCTCCGGTGACGGGACACAAGGCGCCGAACAGCCGGCGAATTTCGAAGACAAGTCTTTTCTCATATTGATTCACCAACAAAGCCGACCACATTATGGTCACAGCAATAGTTCAAACGAACTCAAAGCCTTCATTAAAACAACTCAGCCATCATTCTTCATCTAATATTCGCAATGTAAATGTAACCTTTGGTTATATAATGAGATTTATTCTTCATAATTTGAGCAATTTTGGCAGCAAATCTCATAAAAATTACAAAAACGTATTGATAAGTCTTTAAACTGAACATGAAAATTACATGAGAGCTGTAATAATAAATATATTACTAATACTTATCTAACTACTAGAAAACGTTTTGCGAAGTTTTTTTGATTTTAAAATTATCCTTCGAGTCAAAAATGATGTCAATTAACAATTTAATTAAGGCCAAACAGGTGAACGCAAATGCAATTAATGTGTGGAAACCGCTTCAACCAATCGACAAGTGACTACAATATACTTTTCAAAGACATAATTACGGCAATTATTAGTCAATCATTTAATAACTTATCGGTTAGAACAATAAATAAAGAACCGATACTAAAACATTAATATTAGCGCCGTGAATGATCAAAATAAATGATTGGCCCTCAAAACAGTTTGTAAGCTGTCTCAAAAAAATAACAATCAGAAGATTTAGATCTCTTCAAGAAAATTATACTTTCTTGGTCATTTTGTCAGTATTTTAGCTTTCCGAAGTTATATAAAAAGAGAATGGATAGTGAGATAATGCTCGCAATGTCAAAATATTGAGTAAGTTAACCTTTCAAAATGTCAAAATATTGAGAAGTTTTTTTACTCGAATTGAGCTTTGTCCGAAGTTTTATTAAGTCACTTTCAGCTTTCAGAATCACAGAGCTAAATTATGCCCGGTTGGTAAGAGGTGAGCTGGTAGTCCCCCTTTTGCATGGTACCAATCGGGGTTTTGATTATTCGGGTTTGCGTGCATGATGTTCGGTCGGATTCCGAGGTGATGTTGCATCGCGACGACACCCTGTTGCGTCATGTCTAGTCCCGGAGGCATCTCGACTTTGATATGAGGAGCCCCTCCTGCTTCCATTGTCGCACGAGAGTTCGCTATCATTTCCACGATGTTTGCTCCGTCTAGGTAACCCATTGAGTGAGGAGACACGTGATGACCTGTGGCTTGATGATGTTGGTTTGGGTTCTGGTGGGATCCGTGATTCGGTCCCATGTGAGGCATAGTCATGTTCCAAGGTGACTGAGGCTGACCCGGAGGAGCTACAGATGTCTGGTGACTCATAGGTTGTCCAGTGAGAACTAGGTTTGGCATTGTGACATTTGGCGCGATCTGGTTGGCCCCCGAGTGAGCTATGGTGGCGTCGATGACGTCATTTGCAGTAGTGTTGTGGTCGATCGGGTGTTCGTCCGTCTCGTTTAAGTCGTCTCCCTCCTCCTCATCTTTCGCATCGGGCGAGAGAGCGTCGAAATTCATATCAATTCTGGCGTTCGGGTTTCCCTTCATGAGTTTCTTCATTTTGGATCGCTTGTTTTGGAACCAAATTTTGACCTGAACGAAAAATTAATATTACTAGCTATCAATTACACTAAGAAGTACTTTGAAGAGCCAGCAGCATAAAAAATTACCAATATATAACTATGAAATTATCATTCACATAAAAGAACCTTTTTATTCATCAAAATCGAGGCATGTTATAATGCGCATAATCAAATCAAATACGCTCTTTAAAGAAACCACAAAAACCAAATTCGTCTCAAAATTGGAGGCGGAAAAATTGTTGTTTATTTTCCTGCAATACTTGAGCTTATGTCTTTCCTTTTTTTAAATTAACGTAGGCCGATTCAACTGCTATCATCCAGCCACAGCGGGGAATTTAAAATTCATAAAACACCTTTTGAAATATTTCCCTTTCCTTGAATTTCATCCCCCGGATTCCGTTCCAGAGGAGCCAAATTGTCTCATTCCTGGATTCCAAACAATAGTTAAGGGAGATGGACTAAAAAGTAGCGTGGTTGCTTGGAAAGAGTGGCGTGTACTTTATGACTTGTTCAGTTGTATTTCAAATTTTTAATCTCCCAATTTTTCCCCAAAGTTATTGTTAGAGTACGATGCTGCGCTAATTGCCTGCCTATTTTGGCGCAACAGGGTAATTAAAATACCTGGGCTAAGAGTGATCCCACTTTTTGAGAGGAGACGAGAGGATTAAATACTGTGAAGGAATTTCAAAGTCTTATTTTCAAACTGATATTTTTACTGTTTTTTTTATACATTTACATTCTAATTTTAATTGTTGAAATGTAATTTAAAACCACGAGTATGGAAAGCAGAAAAACCTGTGCTAACTTTAGACCTTCAGGTTTTCAAATTTCTTACCAAAAAAATGGAAGCCAAAAAAAAACAGATTAGGGTTCCATTGGAATGTTTGAATACGATATAAATTTCAGCACACTTATTTAAAGAGCCCGGACGTGATTATTGGTGAGTGACTTATGCAAGATAACCTGCCACAGTTTGAGGTCGTAGTGACATGAGAAAATAGCACGAGAAATTTAAGACCTAAAATTTTTCGGGATCTACTTAACAATCTCCCCCCCTATGGTACCTACTTAAGAATCTCCACCCCTATAAATAAATACAGTGAAATAGCACTGAGCTTTCTATTGAGAATTCTAATTTTGCTGCATTCTGATTGGTCGAAAAATCGACCAATTTGATCTAGTTAACAATCTCTCCCACCCCCCCCCCCCCTTTCTTGAAAGGGGTGGAGATTGTTAAGTAGATCCATTTTTCGAAACAGCATAATTTCATTTCATGTGCTGGCGCCTTACAACTTCTCACAAAAACTACGGGATAACAATCAATTGCGGAAAATAACTTGAGACAAAAACCTCTATTTTTTTAAAAAAAGATTTGAGCAGATTTGAGCATGATACATACAGGTCTTACTCCTTGCCTTTGTCATTTAATATTGGGGGAGATTGTTCACTTGGTCTATCAAGTTCATTAGTTTCGCTGAGATTGTTCACATGGGCCAATATGAGTTCATCAGTTTTGAATTGAGCTTCAAGACCAAAGACAAATTAAAAAAAACAGCTGTTAAGGCGAAAACGGTTTTTGATTGGATATCGTCATTTGTCGTCTTATTTACCTAGCACCCCATTATTTGAACCTTTCCAGGCAAAGAAAATTGTGGTTTTATTTCAGATTAACAGAGGAAGGAAATTAACTTAAAACTAAAAGGGTCGTCATCGCTCTACCTACTTTTGTTTACTTAGTGCACACAACAAGATGTTAAAGAGCCTCTCTATACTGAAAAGGTTCAAACAAATACGCGCGTGGTCGGCAGGCGGTTTAATATAATCAGTTAAGTTTCCTGTTTTAGATGAAATATTAAGAAGCTAAACAAGAGAAAGATTTCATGCCAGATTATTATGATGACAGGTTTTAGGTTCGTTAGCCTCAAATCCAGGCCAACTGGCAAACAGTCCCAGGTACTTGGCATTTTGACTGTTTTACGACATTTTCGAACTGATCAACCAATTTGGACTGAATTGGAACTGAATAATGTTATTCGGGCGTTAACCTTTTAACCGACAAAAAAAGTTCAAATGTTCGTTCTGGAAAATTATCAAGATGAATCGAAAGTAAAAAAAATATCAGTTGAAGAGGTGACAAAGCACAAAGCAGCTCGAAAATGCCTAAAAGTCCAAATCAAAAAAATTGCTCCTTAATTATGTGAGACATAAAGTGCATTTATAGTCCCTCTTATCTTAGTAGTTTGAGTTTCGCAATATTTTGATTAACAAGAATAAGCTTGTGGGTCGGTCGTTATTCAAAAACTATTTGAGTTCAACAGTCGGTCTCGTAAGTACTATGATGCAATTAATTTTTTCGCAAGTATGAGAGATAGGTCCCCCAATTTTTGCACTAAATCATAGTTGTGCTCAAAATTTGTGAAGCCTGGTCTAGTTTATATCCTGTTGATAGATGACTCACCTGGGTTTGGGTGAGTCCTAAGGCTGCGGCCAATTCCGCTCTCTCCGGAAGGGCCAGGTACTGAGTTCTCTGGAAGCGACGCGTGAGCTGCTGGATCTGTATTGTGGAGTATATTGTTCTCGGCTTCCTCATCTTCTTGCCCCCCTTGGTAAGCGCCGCCTCCACTCCTCCCCCTCCCACACCACCCGTCATGCCCACTCCTAGTCCCCCCAACACATGGGCTGCTTGATGTTGCTGCTGGCTCTTCGGAGAGTCTCCCAGCTCCAAATCTTTCTCACCTAAAACGGGAAATGCTCTAGATCTTTGTCGATGCTCAGTTAGAATGCGTCGATTGCTTGCTTGCCAGTAAAATTGTGCTTACTTTGTCTTGCTTCTATAATTATATATTACAAGGATCATATTAACATCCCCCCAACGGCTTTGGGCGGGAGGATGTTAACTTGGTCCTCTTACAGATACAACTGCACAGAGACAATCTCGAGCAGAAGAAACTTGTGGCAATTTCAGCAGAGAGTAAAGTAAAAAGTACAGACTTATTTTTGAAATATTAAGCTTGGCCTTTTTCTCATGTGCCCCTGTGTGAAAAAGGATCTGGATAGATTCTGGACCCTGTCGAATGCCCTTTTCTTGATAACCAGTGGTACAAATCATGATTAAATGTATGCGTGTAATGTGTATCAGTTGTCAACGATTGAGTCCATGTCATCATATGAGCAAAGAAACCCTGTCATGTTTCTCAAGCTTTCATTTGCACATAAAAATCAAGGATTAGGCATTGAAAAGATGATTGATTGAATCAATGCATGAACATAAAATGGACTATTACCATTGCAATAAAACAGATTGCTTTCGATCTTAAGTGTCATTGATTTTGTAGGCTGTTCATTTAGTTTTTATACACACCTGGAAGAACTTGATCGCCTCTTGGACTGTGATCCAACATATGATTCGGCGGCGGGGGTGACCCGTATGTCAATGTGGCTCCTCGTCCCAGACCATTCTGGTTGGCGAAAGCTCCAGCAGCGCCTGAGTAGGGATTCGGACCCTGAGGACTCCCAGATTGCTGTGGGTACATCTGGGACGCCAGGTACCCTGGAAAACCAGCTGCGGCTGCTGCTTGTGCATGTGATCTGTAGTGATGCTGCAGGAACGACGGGTCCTGGTTTGCTACGGCCATAGCGTAGTTCATCATTGGATTCGGATGGGCATGATGAAACGGGTTCTGCGGGTTATGAGGGTTCCCCGGATGTCCAGAAGCTGCCGCCATTTGCATGTAGGGATTGAAACCCCCCGACGACTGATGGGGGCTCGGGTGATGTTGAATCGTGGATGTCTGATGTTGGGAAAGTCCCCCCAAATTGTAGGGAAAGTCGGCGGAGCCGTGTTGGGGGAAGTCTGGGTGGTTGTAGGGGAATCCCGGGGGAGGTTTTCCGACCAGTAATTCATTGGACGAGTCATGACGAAGGTGAGATTCACGACTCGAGGGCGACAGCTGAGCGTGATTTTGATTTATAATATTCTGCATAACTGGTTGATTATTAATAGTTTAACCAGTTAATAGCCCGGATAATGAGTTTTACTCTCAAAACTGTAATTTAGCCGATTTGCCGATTTATGTTCAAGTTGGTAATTGTACTGAAAATTAAGTTGCTTGTTTTGATTAGAAAAAAGAAAATTATTCGAGAAGAACAATGATAAATGTTGAAAATTAGCAATTTATGCTGTTTTAAACTGTATAGTGCCTTTTAAATGGTCGTATATAACCAAGACACGTAAAATATTTATTTATGATCTCAACTACGACAATTGATAGTTTTAGAGCGGCCTTTACTGAGCCAAAAAATACAAGTTATGCTCAAGTAATTGAAAAATAGATTTGAACATAATCATCTGATTTCTTTTGTGAGCAATATTGATGCACTTGTTTTACGGGATTTTACTTGTTTAAAACAAAGAGATTTTATTGGCTGACAGATTTTGACGTTGCGGCACTCAAGTTACGGGTGAATTTCGGTCTGTCTAATTTTGATAAACAATTGACCAAACTATTTTTAGGTTAGTTTTCAAATTGACTGGTAATTTTTATCTTATTTTCAAAATAATATAAAAACCTAGGGGGATAATTAGAATAATTAGTGCAAGCAATTAAAATGATACCAAAATAGAAGTTAATATTAAAAACAGTTTGTTGTAATTATCCTTATATTAACTTTTTTTAGAGCTTGGACTAATAATTTAACTCATCAATTTTGTCTTCAATTTATCAGGTAAGAAAACTTATCAACAGAGAAAATGCGCGAGGAAGAAAGGAACCAATTATAGCTTTACTGCATGTCTCGGGTCTAAGTTAATTAATTGCACAAATCAGTTAGATAAAGATGTTTTTTTTTTCTATGATATCCAAAAAAAACCGTCGGATCTCTTTAACTAGTCCCCCTCCCTTTTCCAAAAGGGGGAGATTCGTTACTAGGTAAGTAATTCACAAGCTTATCCATTGAATTATTTCATTATAGGGGTGGCGATTTGTTACGATTTACCAAGGGGGATTGTTAAACTAGTTAAATAGTGGTTTAAGTTAATTATTAACGTAATCAAGTAATCAAAAACGTTGTGATATTGCTATATAAAAAAAATACAATATCTAGAAACACTGAAAAACCCGAAGAAACAATCGAAACTCACTATTAGAAAATTTGTTTGTTTTCTTCTACGAATGACTCGTTAAAAATCAATTAAATAGCTGTTCAATGGCTGAGTCAGCACAACGCTTCGCCCCTATAAAAAGCTAACATAACAGTCAGTGGCGTGCACAGAAATTTTTCGGGTTATAAAGACCCTGTTTTGCCAAAAAATTTCAGCGTCGCAGATAAATTTTTGAAAATTAGGCAAAAAAATGACGGTTTGAGTTGAGCCTTTTTAAAAAATATTTGACCAAAAGTTGCGCTTTTCCGGCGCGCGCTCCCCCTCAAATTTAGTTATATTAGCGCCAAAGGCGCCTTTAGAACATTTTTGACGTTGGTCAGCCAAAAATGGATCTCGTAAAATTATACCAAAGGGGGACCCTTTGGAAAAATTTGGCAAACAAAATCATAACGGATGTTCAACGGATTCCTCATTGGCAATCCTCATTCGTTTCAAGTTATAAGTCAAATATGCATATTTAAATTTTTAATATCTATTTTTGTATGTTTTAGAAGCCACCATGGGTTGCTGTGTTTTCATATGATGGTTTGTATCTTTATAACTTGTAACATGAATACCCAGAGTGGTCCCGCAGTGAATCCGTGCTGTTTCAGTAACATTTCAGTAAAAGTCCAGTCCTGTATCAGTCTATGTACAGAGCCACACTGTAACTCTGATCAGAGATAAAATCAAATATAAATATGGCCGTTCTATAACAGCACAAAGGTCAGATCATAGCAAAGTTTGTGAGATCTTTTCAACTTTCATTCCGTAATCTTACCTATTTCTCCGGGGCAGTTTCGCTACTAACCCGCACCAGAGCTCCATGAATAATAATCGAATATAATGGAAAAATGTTGTCTAAAATGTTCTCATTACGATCCTTTATAGTCGGAAGTTTTATGTGGAGGTTACGTGGTCATTAAAATCGCTAGTTGTCGAAGAAAAATCTATTATAGTACATTTTTTTCTCCATTTTAATCGATTGTTTTGCCAAGAAAATCATTCATATTACATTTTACTTTGCTAATAATTAAGCTATTCTATTTTAAGCACTAATTTTGTATGGAAGAAATAAAACAAGTTTAATTATGTGAGTTTACAAATTTTTCCTAGAAACTTGCATATATAAAACACCATAAAATATAATTTAAAAGTTTTAAATGTATCTTCCATTAGAGACATCTTCTTCCAATGAAGACTTCTCCCAGTCAAGACTTCTTCTCTCATTTCTCCTCAGCGGGCATCGGGTAAGAGAACCAGTGACCTCAGCGGGCATCGGGTAAAAGAGCCAGTCACATCAGTGGGCGTTGGGTAAGAGAGCCAGTGACTTCAGAGGGCATCGAGTAGAAAAGCCAAAGAGAGCAGTTCGAGTTCAAGCGGCGAATCATAAAAACAATCAAGAAAAAATAGAAATTTCAGCAAACCAAGTAGTAAAAATACAACCAACCAAAAAATTGCAAAGGGGAGCGTTAAAATTGTGTTTACCTTGAAACAACCTAAAATTATGCAGCAAGCCGATAAAAAAAAGCCGATATAATTTAGGCCGATTAAGTTGTTCCCGGGAAACAAAAGAATGGAACTATGAAGTCAAGGTAAAATTCCAAACTGCAAGAGTAAATCAAACAATGAAAGAAAAATTAAAGAAAAAAGCGCGCAGCAAAAAAAAACGATTCCAAGATGTGGCAACTAAACCCACAAAACATAAGCAAATAAATAGAAAGCCGACAACTTTTTTGAAACAGAATACTTCCGTTTGAAAATAAAAACAGGTCCTGGTCAGATTGTAAACCAGAACCCAAACCAGAAGAGTTAAGAAACAAACATATTTAGGTGAAAATATGTTTGCATTAGCCTTGCATTAGCCCGATTGCATTAGCCATGCTTATCGATAGGGTAATAAAACGTTGTGACAGGGAAAATTTAGTTCCCAATAAGAACGCTCCTGCTCTTGCACGTGTAATAATCTCAATTAATCAATTTACAGTAGAAAAACTTCTTAGGCTGAAAGTTTCAGCAAAATTGGAGAAAGTTATTTGAAGGATTCCGAGAAATCAGGATTACTAATGAGTGTTTTTTTTTTCTGATATCTGTTCTGTTACTTCGAAAACCCACTATTTTTCCGGTCTAGACGCGACAATACCAATTTTAACAAATTTTAGTATATGTAATTCGACTTACTGCTCACAATGTCAATACAGATTGATACCTCAATGGTAACTAATCAATGATAAAGTGAATATTCACATTTCGATTTCCATTCTGTTGAGTACCACAGAAGTCAAAATTATTCTTATACGTCAACTCGAAGCTTCAGCTGGACTTTTTTGATTCGTCTTAAAATATATCAGATAACATAGAAAAAAACGTTAATTTTTTAAAATTTTTTTGAGATATTGCATAACAGCTGGTAAAATGAATGAGCTTTAAACTTCAATTTAAAAGCACATAAAGCAAGAATTCCCGGTTGCTGCGTAACAAAAAAACTGATTTTTTCAAAAAAAATGAATT